TCTGTAGAAAGCCCAGTATTAACAGTTACCATCCGATACCTACTTTATATTATCACTCCTTCATTGAATTAAATCAGGATGGAATTGAGCTAATCCTGGAGTGCAGCGAAAACTTAATTCTTCTCATTTTATTCTTCTTACCAGCGTATTCATAACTTTACTGAAAGCAACACATTTTTCACAGTTTTTATGTTTTACTGTGTTTATTTGTAACACTGTGTGTGTATATATATGTATATGTGTGCGGAGAGAGAAAGAGAGAAAGACATGAATGTTTTTAAACTTTAAATGGGGTAGTGGAGACTCTGAGAGTTTCACTTCACATCTGCTTTGCACGTTTTTTTTTTGCTTTTTTGCATATTAGCAGAAGTGCTTGCTGAATGAACTTACGCTTAAATGTCTCTTCCCTGTGACTGAGCTGTTCGTCTGGTCTCTGCAGAATGATTTCATGTTTTCACATCTTCCCTACCCAAATTCCCACAATGCCATCAAAGGCCTAAATCCTAGCACTGCTTCCAGCACTGTGAACACACAGTTAGGTTTTCTTCTGATCATAATCAGAATAATTTCCCATATTAGTTTTTTTGAAGTTTGAAAGGATATCGACTTGCTCTGCGGCAGCACTCGGTCAAAGTTTAGGAAATTCCCAGGCCATGTCAGCCGGAGATGAGGACTGAAGTTGCATTGGGATTCGAGTTGGGTGCATTGGGTGTACAAGTACACAGAGTGAACTTAGATTCCTCCAGGAACAACATGATGCAACATAGAACAAAATAGACACTACAAAGTGCAAACATGCAGACGTAAGTGTGCAAAAAAATATACTAGAAACAATACAGTAAATATGATAATTAAATCAGACATTAGACACAGTAAACAGACAGGACAGTGCAGCACAGACACAGCACTCATTTCTGAGTATGAGGTAGGGTTGTGGAATAAGGTGCAGAGATATTTAACATGCTGTGAGTTAAGCAGTCAGATAACATACATAAACACAGCAGTTACTGAGGTAGGATACACAGTACTAGAGTAAAACACGGTGTTAGCAGCAACGTTCCAGATAGCACAAGTAGAGCACCAAAAGAGGTGTGTGTGTGTTGGGGGGATTTACTTGTGGAACAAAGAGGAACAAAGCTGTTGCAGTGTCTGGCAGTGATGGCACGGATGCTCCGGTGCCTTCTGCCAGACGGCAGCAGTGAAAAGAGTGTGAGGGATGGATGGGGTCGTTCACAATTGTTGGCTTTGCGGATGCAGCGTGTGGTGTAGATGTCCATGATGGAGGGGAGAGAGACCCCAATGATCCTCTCAGCTTTCCTCACTATTCGCTGTAGGGTCTTGTGGTCAGAGGCGGTGATGCTGTTCTCAAGTTTTTCGTGTCAGAAAAACCTTCAGTCTGAAAGAGAGAACTGCAGTGTTACAGTAAAGGCGGTGTTTAAAGGAAAGAGGCAGAACAACTTGAAAGGGTGTCTCGCATGTAGTTTGGATACCAAACTGAAGTTTTAGTCCAAATCCAATTCCAAAAAGTTGGGACAGTTTGCGAAATGCCAGTAAAAACAGAAAGTGGTAATTAGTAAATTCAGTTTGACCTGTATTGAACTGAAAACAGTACAGAAACATAATATTAAATGTTTTACTGTATGAAGTTCATTGTGTTTTTTTGTATGGTCACTCCAAATATGATGCCTGTTTTGGAAAAAGTTGGGAGCATGTTTACCACTGTGTTACCTCACCTTCCCTTTTAACAGCAGTTAATAATCATTTGGGGACTGAAGACACAAACTGATCCAGTTTTAAAAGCTGAGTTTTTTGTCTTTCTTATACAAGTCTTCAGCTGTGCAACCGTGGGAGTTTTTGTATTTTGAATTTTTGTATTTTGGCTTCATAGTGCACCACTTGTCTTCCGCAGTCGAGTCTGGCACCCACACCCTGTGTTATGTTGAAATAAGCATGGATTTTCCTGAAAAAGACGTGGTCTAGAAGGCAGCATATGTTGTTCCAAAATGTCTATATATCTTTCAGCATTAATGGTGGTTTCACAGGTGTTCAGGTTATGCATTAATACCCCTCCACATGACAGATGCTCACTTTTCTAACAATCTGAACGGTCCTTTTCTTCTTTAGCCCAGAGAACTCGGCATTCATTATTTCCATAAACAATCTGAAAAGTGGACTCGTCGGACCACAATACATGTTTTCACTGAGCATCAGTCCATTTCAGAAGAGCTCAAGCCCAGAGAAGTCGGCGGCGTTTCTGGATGTTGTTGATATATGGCTTCCACTGTGCAGAGTACAGCCTCAACTTGCATTTGTGGATGCAGCAATAAATTCTGTTTATTAGCAACAGTAACATGCCTGTTTTTCATGCAGGGGTCGAAGGTCATGGGCATTCAGTTGTTTTTTTGGAGACCTTTTCTTTTGATGATAAGCACCATAGAGAACAAAACACCTATAATCCCTGCAAACGCTCTTTGAAGAATGTTGTTTCTTAAACTTTTGG